CTTCGTGGTCTTTGAGCAGCCCAACTTTTGAGAAAGCAAACGTCTCGTGGTCTCTGAGCAGCCCAGCTTTTGAGAAAGCAAACGCCTCTTCGATTTCTGAAGCTCCGTCGAGTGCAGATTTTTATAGAGGCTGGCATTAAGTTCCAAAGCACACTTGAATCTCCACCAGTAGAAGCTTCATTCTTGCACTTCTAAGATCTTGATTTGTCCGACCTCTTCTCTCTTCAACACTTTTGAAAATGTATGGCCCCTCCGACCGTCGTTTTGACTTGAACCTTGTTGAAGAGGCAGCCACGCTTTCTCCAGACAACATATGGCGCCCATCTTTCGTCTCCCCTACTGGTCCTCTTACCGTTGGGGATTCCGTGATGAAGAATGATATGACCGCTGCGGTGGTGGCCAGGAACCTTCTCACTCCCAAAGATAACAGACTACTTTCCAAACGGTCTGATGAGTTAGCTGTTAAGGATTCTCTGGCTCTCAGTGTTCAGTGTGCAGGTTCTGTGTCTAATATGGCCCAACGCCTATTTGCTCGAACCCGCCAAGTTGAATCATTGGCGGCTGAAGTGATGAGTCTCAAACAGGAGATTAGAGGGCTCAAGCATGAGAATAAACAGTTGCACCGGCTCGCACATGACTATGCTACAAACATGAAGAGGAAGCTTGACCAGATGAAGGAATCTGATGGTCAGGTTTTACTTGATCATCAGAGATTTGTGGGTTTGTTCCAAAGGCATTTATTGCATTCGTCTTCTGGGGCTGTACCGCGTAATGAAGCTCCAAATGATCAACCTCTGCTACCTCCTCCTTCTAGGGTTCTGTCCAGTACTGAGGCTCCAAATGATCCCCCTCCAGTGCCTGCTATTTCTGGGGCTCTACCGACTGCTAAGACTTCTCCTAAGCAACCTTTGTGAAGGCTCCCTCTTGTTTGTTTATTTTGACTCATGTATATGTACATATTTGTGACTTATCGGGGATATCAATAAATAGTTTTCCTTCATTTCAACGTATTGTGTTAAATACACCAAAGCCTTCTTCGCTAAGTTCTCTGAATTTTCTTTTGTTGAAGCTTATACGTTGAAGCTTTGTGAGTGGAGCATGTAGGTTGAGGTAGTATTCCCTTAATTTCCCGAGTGATGAAAACTTCTCGGTTGGAGACTTGGAAAATCCAAGTCACTGAGTGGGATCGGCTATATGAATCTTTGAACGCCATTGTGCTCGGTCATGTGTCATGTCCTCCGTTAGATCCAAGTACTCTAAGTCTTTTCTTAGAGTCTCTTCCAAAGTTTTCCTAGGTCTTCCTCTACCCCTTCGGCCCTGAACCTCTGTTCCATAGTCGCATCTTCTAATCGGAGCGTCAGTAGGCCTTCTTTGCACATGTCCAAACCACCGTAACCGATTTTCTCTCATCTTTCCTTCAATTTCGACTACTCCTACTTTACCCCGGATATCCTCATTCCTAATCTTATCCTTTCTTATGTGCCCACACATCCAACGAAGCATCCTCATCTCCGCTACACCCATTTTGTGTACGTGTTGATGCTTCACCGCCCAACATTCTATGCCATACAGCATCGCCGGCTTTATTGCCGTCCTATAAAATTTTCCCTTGAGCTTCAGTGGCATACGGCGGTCACACAACACGCCGAATGCACTCTTCCACTTCATCCATCCAGCTTGTATTCTATGGTTGAGATCTCCATCTAATTCGCCGTTCTTTTGCAAGATAGATCCTAGGTAACGAAAACGATCGCTCTTTGGTATTTCTTGATCTCCGATCCTCACCCCTAACTCGTTTTGGCCTCCATTTGCACTGAACTTGCACTTCATATATTCTGTCTTTGATCGGCTTAGGCGAAGACCTTTAGATTCCAACACTTCTCTCCAAAGGTTAAGCTTTGCATTTACCCCTTCCTGAGTTTCATCTATCAACACTATATCGTCTGCGAAAAGCATACACCAAGGAATATCATCTTGAATATGTCCTGTTAACTCATCCATTACCAATGCAAAAAGGTAAGGACTTAAGGATGAGCCTTGATGTAATCCTACAGTTATGGGAAAACTTTCGGTTTGTCCTTCATGAGTTCTTACGGCAGTCTTTGCTCCTTCATACATATCCTTTATAGCTTGGATATATGCTACTCGTACTCATTTCTTCTCTAAAATCCTCCAAAGAATGTCTCTTGGGACCCTATCATACGCTTTTTCCAAATCTATAAAGACCATGTGTAAATCCTTTTTCCCATCTCTATATCTTTCCATCAATCTTTGTAAGAGATAGATTGCCTCCATGGTTGAGCGCCCTGGCATGAACCCGAATTGGTTGTCCGAAACCCGTGTCTCTTGCCTCAATCTATGCTCAATGACTCTCTCCCAGAGCTTCATTGAATGACTCATTAGCTTAATACCCCTATAGTTCATGCAATTTTGTACGTCGCCCTTATTCTTGTAGATAGGCACCAAAGTGCTCGTTCGCCACTCATTTGGCATCTTCTTCATTTTCAAAATCCTATTGAAAAGGTCAGTGAGCCATGTTATACCTGTCTCTCCCAAAACTTTCCACACTTCGATTGGTATATATCATCTGGGCCTACTGCTCTTTTCTATGCTTCATCTTCTTCAAAGCTACAACCACTTCTTCCTTCCGGATTCGATGATAAAAAGAGTAGTTTCTATACTCTTCTGAGTTACTCAACTCCCCTAAAGAAGCACCCCTTTCATGTCCTTCATTGAAAAGATTATTAAAATAACCTCTCCATCTGTCTTTAACCGCGTTCTCTGTAGCAAGTACCTTTCCATCCTCATCCTTGATGCACCTCACTTGGTTTAGGTCCCTTGTCTTCTTTTCCCTTGCTCTAGCTAGTGTTTATAGATATCCAACTCTCCTTCTTTGGTATCTAGTTGTCGCTTATACATATCGTCATAAGCCGCTATAAGCCGCTAACTTAGCTTCTCTCACAACTTTCTTCGCCTCTTGCTTCGCTCTTTCTATATACCTTTCACCATTTTTTTCATCGGTCCTATCCTTGTATAAGGCTTTACAACATTCCTTCTTAGCCTTCACCTTTTGTTTATACCTCCTCATTCCACCACCAAGATTCCTTTTGGTGTGGGGCAAAGCCCTTGGACTCTCCTAATACCTCTTTTGCTACTTTTCAGATACAACTAGCCATGGAATCCCACATTTGGCTAGCTTCCCCCTCTCTATCCCACACACACTGGGTGATTACTTTCTCTTTGAAAATGACTTGTTTTTCTTCTTTTAGATTCCACCATCTAGTCCTTGGGCACTTCCAAGTCTTGTTCTTTTTTTCTCACTCTTTTGATATGTACATCCATCACCAACAAGCAAGCGATGTTGATTAGCCACGCTCTCTCCTGGTATAACTTTGCAATCCTTACAAGTTATACGATCCCTTTTCCTCATTAGAAGAAAATCTATTTGTGTTTTTGACGACCCACTCTTGTAGGTGATCACATGTTCTTCTCTTTTCTTAAAGAAGGTGTTGGCTAAGAAGAGATCATATGCCATTGCAAAATCCAAGATAGCTTCCCCATCCTCGTTTCTCTCCTCAAAACCATGGCCACCATGAAAACCTCCATAGTTGCCTGTCTCCCTGCCCACGTGTCCATTTAAATCTCCTCCTATAAATAACTTTTCCGTCTGAGCAATTCCTTGCACCAAGTCTCCAAGGTCTTCCCAAAATTTCTCCTTCGAACTCATATTCAACCCTACTTGAGGTGCGTACGTACTAATCACATTGATAAGTTCTTGTCCTATTACAATCTTGATTGCCATGATTCTATCTCCTACCCTCTTGACATCTACAACATCTTGTGTCAAGGTCTTGTCCACGATGATGCCAACACCGTTTCTCGTTCTATTTGTGCCCGAGTACCAAAGTTTAAACCCTGAGTTTTCTAGATCCTTTGCCTTAAGACCAACCCACTTAGTTTCTTGTAGGCACATAATATTTATCATTCTCCTCACCATAACTTCCACTACTTCCATAGATTTTCCCGTTAAGGTTCCTATATTCCACATTCCTAAACGCATTCTACTCTCCTGAACTCTACCCTTCTGTCTTAGCTTCTTCACCCTCCCCCGTCCAATGGAATCAAAGTACTTCTTTTGTGTGTGTCCCGTGTAAAGTTGATAGGTGCATATGCTCCCAAACAACTTTGAGTGGAGTCGTTCGAAAAGAAGTTTCTATGGCCCCCTTGCTCATTTAACACTGCATCCGGGTGCCTATGGAGATACAGCGACCTTTGCTCACTTATCACTGTGCTCGGGCCACACAACGCGCCACTTACGGGTGACGCCCTAGCTTTAGCGCGATTTCGTTCTGAATTCATTTTCATAAGGATTCGACGTAACTGTGGAGTGCCGGCTGTCGACTACCTGACGCCCTCCCCCTCCTCCTTTACCCGGGCTTGGGACCGGCAATGTAAGATAAACTTACATAGGCGGAGTTCAAAAAACTTTGAATTAAATCATTCGAAAAAAAAAATCTTTGAATTAATAACGATGAGTGGCATAGCTGGATAGTGATATGGAGTTCCAGACTTGTTTTTTGTCAGATCTGGATCCATCCGGATTCAAGTTGTGGGGATTCTAAAAATTCTCATATCTTAACCGTTTATCGTACATCGTACGGTTTAAAATTATTTTAAATTTATTTATTTAAAATTAAATATAAATAGTATCGAACAAAAACTAACCACACGATATAATTATGAACTACTATTACGAGAGGACTCCCTATGATCCCCACAAGAGGATCCTCCATCAGTTTTGCAGAAGAAAGAAGGTAAAGCACCGCACGGGCTGGTCAACGGTCAAGTATGTCATCTGCGTGACTGATCACGTTAGCCGGCAGGTGGAAGGCAAGGCCAATTCTGTAATTCCCAAAATGTTAGCGGTTGGCATTGTCCGTTAAGCTCCGCGTGTTTCGGTTTGGTTCCCGCTAAAATAGTAGAATAAGTAAATTTGTACAAACGGTAATAACATATCCATTCCTCCTCCTCTTTCGGCTCTCTTCATCTCTGCGCTTGTTCTGGTTTCCAACGGCCACCGTCTGCCATTTCCTCTTTCCCTTTTCTTTTTCTTTGACAATTATACATTTTGTTTCAAAATTTTATTTTCAATCTCTGGGTTTGCCATTTAACCCATTTGATTTGATTTCTTTTTACTTTTGAATTCTTAAGTGTATTGAATGATCCTCCTCCTCTGACTTCAACTTTTTCCATCTCAATCATCTTTTTTGGTTGCAGGTACGTGCTTTCACGTTTCCAATATTATTATAATTCTATTCAGACGAAATAATTTGTTCAAATATTTGATATATATATATATATATATATATATGTGTGTGTGTGTGTGTGTGTGTGTGTGTGTGTGTGTACATTGTTGTGACTCGTACATTCATACATGCATGCGTGTTGCCCGCAGAAGAAACCAAAAATGGCGAATGTCCGTATAAAGGATCAGCAGAAGGCTCCCGGTTCCCCGAGGGCGGAGGTGGGAGAGGTTGACACCCGAGCACCCTTCCAATCTGTCAAAGCTGCTGTTAGTTTGTTTGGCCAAGTCGTTTCTAGAGGAGGAAAATCTTCCAATGCCAATGCCAATTCCGATTCCAATTCCAGTGCCAGCCCCAAAGCCAATGCCAATGCCAATGCCGTCAAGAAAAAGCTTTCGCCGGAGGTGCAATATTCAATCAATATATCCCTTCAACGCCAATGCCATTGCAAAATGCTAACGTCTTGCGAAGAGAACAGCCTTTCTATTTTTGTATTGCGTATATCATCTCTTCTGAATGATTTGATATTTAACTGGGGATTTCTTGTTTGTCAGACTAATGCACTGGACAAGGAGACGCAACTTCTGTTGGCACAGAAAGAACTAAACAAGATTAAGCAACAATTAGGGAGTGCGGAAACTACCAAAGCTAGAGCACTCTCTGAGCTTGATAAGGCCAAGAGAACACTGCAGGATCTGAACACCAAGCTCAAAACTGTAACAGACTCCAAGCGATCAGCAATTAAAGACGCCGAAGATGTGAAGAATCGGGCTAAGAAACTAGAAGAGGTCAAATCCAGAGAAACCATTGAAGGTAGTGCTTGGAAACGGGAATTGGACCACGAAAGAAATGAGTACACAGCCACTGTGACCGAACTCGATGCAGCAAAGCAAGAGCTTACCAAAATCCGACAGGACTTTGATGCCGCCTTTGAAGCAAAACTGGCTGCATTCCAACAGGCAGCAGAAGCTCAGCGGTCAGCAAACGTTAACTCAGACAGGGTTAACGAGCTGTCAAAGGAGGTTTCAGCCATGCAGGGATCCATTGAACAGCTCAAACTTGCCGCCCTGCAAGCCCAACAGGAGCAGGCAAACGCCGTGTGTGAAAAAGAGGCCCACCTTCGATCCTACCGAAGTGCGAAGCAAGAAGCAGAAGACAAATTGCTATCTTTGAAGAATGAGGTTGATCCTGAACTGGCCAAAGAACTAGAGGCAAAGCTTGAAGAAACAACATCGGAGATTGAAATTATACAAGAAGAGATGAAGAAAGCACACGCGTGCGAAATGGACTCCGTGAGAGTGGTGACTATGGAGCTCAATGAAGCCACAAAGATGCTGCAGGAAGTGGCGGACGAAGAGAGCTCTCTCCGAAGCTTTGTGAGTTCCCTCAGGCTGGAATTGGAAGATGTGAAGAGGGAACAGGCTGAATTGAAGGACAAAGAAATGGAAATGGAAGCTCTCGCTACTAAACTAACTGATCAAATACAGAAAACCAAAGAAGAGGCAGAGGCACATCGTAATGCACCTCCTAGTCCTCATGAATACGATGCACATCACAGCCCAACTGCTGAGAAGCTGTCATCTGAAACTGAAAGCACAAGGCTGGAAGCAGAAAAGATGAAGGAAAATGCTAATCAACATAAACGAGAAGCTGAAGATAGCAGAGTTGCAGCAGAGGAAGCAGAGATGAAACTGAAGATTGCCCTCGAAGAAGCTAAAGATGCACGAGAAGCAGAAAAAAGAGTCCTTGGGGAGCTGAAGTTCTTATCTGGGGGAACACAGGAAGAAGGTTCGTCTTCAAACTCAGAGACCGGTGCTGCCAAGATCAGACTATCGGAGGAGGAGTTTGAATCTTTGAGAAGGAAAGTCGAGGAATGTGAAAAATTGGCTGAGATGAAAGAGGCAGAAAGCATGAACCAAGTGGAAGCACTCAACGTAAGAAAAACTGAAGTAGATAAAAAGCTGGAGGCCAATTTAAAAGCCATAGAGGAAATCAAGACTGCAACAGACATGGCATTGAACAAAGCAGAGATGGCAGAGTCGGCAAAATCAGCAGTTGAGGGAGAACTTCGCAAGCGGCATCAAGAAGAACAAATGGTGGTGGGCGAGTCATCAGTATCATTCCCCGTTCAGTTCTAGCAGGAATCAAGAGAAGATCACAATGGCAGACAAGTTGGATGGGAATGGGATCTCTCGTAGTCCTTGAGGGAGAAACACCAACTTCCAATCCAACACGTCCCATTTTGGTGTATTGATTGTATTCAGGAAAACTTAATTGTAAGTCTCAGTGGTTCAAAAACAGGGAAACACGTACATCTCCCGTTTTCTTATCTCAATACTCAAAACAATACTTTCTGCTTTTATTGGTTCTTCAGGGCAAAATTTAACAAGTCAGCATGCAGACTTTAACCAACTGATCCGCAGACGAGTCTTCGCTACAGAAATAGCACCAGCACCAGAAACTGACATGTCAAAAAAAAAAATTAGAAATCGCTAAAGGTTAAAACAGGTTAATCTGTGCAATTACTATATCGTTTGGAACTGTGCAACTAAGGATGACAATTTTCCTGCTGCACTACTACAACGCATATTAGGCTACTCGTAGGTCTGAACTAATTATCCGGGGCAGCCCCATATGTCAAATTACATACACTGTATTAGCTCTGCAATTGTTAAGTTCACGTAGATAATGTCAGCAGTCACCATTACAACCAATCATTTCACATGATTGCAACTCTAGGATCAGTAATGCAAAGACTCCTTGTCCAGCAGCTTTAGAGTGATCACAAAGCCATAAGATTCATCGCAAGTTTGCATGGCACCAAACTCTGGTTTCAGTCGCCATTGATTTTTAGGCCATCTAAAGACTCAGATAGCCCATTCCGATTACCAAACTTGTTAAACTCAGATTCTATCGTTTTAGCAATATGAGTTCTTTCTGCAGCAGCCTCAGGTACATCCACATGAAAAGAACCGTGTCTGATTGGTTGAACGGATTCCTTCATCAGAGACTGCTGCCTGATGTGGGTGTAGAGCTGTTGATGAAAGTGGTGGTCCAAGGAGAAGCAATTGTCAGCTTCATTCTGTGAATTTTGAGATGATCCTGAACCTTCTCTTTCACAGAAATGTGGAAGGGATGCATAATCCATTATCTAACAAACATCAAATCCAACTACAAGGTTAGTCCATTTAAATACAAGAAGCAAAATTGGCTATATGTCCATCACATGGGTTTGCCTTCGCATCCAGTTTCTACAAGTACATTGACTTACGAAGAGGAAACATGTTCATGTGCAGTGAAAATACTAAGGATATTAAATTAACTATAAGAAAGGTAGTTTAATGTTACCGAAAAAAAAGAGAGATGATTTTGAGTAATATGAGAAGAACTCATAAGCATTCAAATTCGCAATACATCAAGCATTATAGGAAACACATTACCTCCAACAGTTCATCCCTACCACAACCAGACAACACTTGCACTTTTTTCCTTGTCCTCTCCTGCAAAAGTGGCTTGACAACCTGATAACAGGCCAAGAATTATACGACTCCAATTCTAAAAGGGCATCTAAAATATATAAAAGGGCTCATGCAACAACCTCAATTGTACTTATGCAGGACACAAAAGATTTAAGATTACATTATATCACAAAGATTAACAATGTGAAGACTAACCTTCCAACAAGTTGAGAATATATAAGGGGCATTTACAATGTAGTATGTATTTGTCTTCTCCGGGTAGTTCAAATCATCAATGGTTGATATAGTTGTCAGTAACTGCACGGACATGCAAAATATAAGGTAGTGAACTGTAGAACTCATGTAGACGCATACAAAGTAGAATCATCACAGTCATGCATTACATGAGATTTATAATCATCCTGGTTTATATTTTTTTCATATATTTATAAAAATAATTCCTCGCTAAGGAACATTGGACAAACCTAAATAAAATTGTGATTTGTACTTGTCATAGGAAAGAACAAGATGAGTTTAAACTGTAACGAAAACAAACAAAAAGAAAGAACATCATTACTCAAGTTATATGTACCTTTATTTGGCTTAGTGCCGAGAGCTTCAAACCAGTCATATCTAAAACCTTGATGCAGGTGGTAATAGGCTTACCATACTTCTTCGATGCAGAAGGCTACAGCCAAACACACAGGTCAGAAGGATGACTCAAGAAACCTTAGAGATTCAAGATCTGGTACTCACCAAAATTACATGATCTCGATATTCATTAATTTGAATGTGTGACTGCACATAGTAGTGAAACTGTAATCAAGAAGAAAAATATTTCTCAAAGATTGTCAAGACTGAAGGACCCCCAGCACCAAGTTAAAATGGCTGAAGTAGGTAACATTGTTGTCAATTGTAGGACAAGATGGTCTTTCATTTTCATCTAATACTTACCGATGCTTTGTCAAATGTACTTAGCCCAACACCAATGGCAAAGACGGGCAAGCCCTGAAGAGCAAAGGAGAATGAATAAACATTTCACAGGCTTATAGCACACACAAATTACAAGAGAAAAACCATTTGTAGAAGAGACATGACAGTGTAAACTCCACAAAAGAGATTAGTTTTAAGAAAGAATGAGCACCTCTCTTGAGTAACCCGAAAGACCTATGAGCTGTGAATCTCGCACTCCTCTGTATAGTTCAGTTGGAACTATGGGCTTCTGCAACAGAGGAATAAGATTCAGGAAATGTCAGCAGCAGTAGGCCACCATGGTTATACATTAGAATGGTAATTTGGCAATCAGTGGCAAACATTAGACAAGTAGGAGAATAGGATAAACTTACGGCTAATATATTGTCAATATCATTTTGTACCCTCCAGTTTAAACAATCGACCAACTGGAACATCAGAAACATACCATTTGATTTCATCAATAAAAACAAAAGCAAAACAAGTGAGCCAACAATGGATATGATATCATTAGGTGAAATGTGGAGGCAAAAGGGATGCAGTGTTACCATTTTATGGGCTTTGGCAACATTGGAATCCCTTGCTTTGAGAAAGCGGCCGAAAGTCTCAACTAGATAGCCTTGATGAACATTCTATAAACCAAGAAACAACTACAACGATCATCCATACAAGACAAGAAATTTATAAAGACTCAAGTGTCTGTCTTGTCCCCTACTTGATGTTCATGTTATTAAAATCAAAGAAATAGATTTTTTTAGTTTAAACTCCAGTAACATGATTTGAGTGGCAGCAAATGCCAAATGGGCAATTGGAAATTACCCAGAAGAAAGAAAAAAAGACGAAAGATTACATTAAGCAATGGGATGATGCGATGGGATTGATTCTAGTGGTGTTGGGTTGATTAATCATCACATGATTCACAAGATGGTAGTGTGTACTACTAGTCTACTAGTTCCATTAGCATTAGCATTAGCAGCACCCCAAACCCAAAAGGTTTAAAAAGCACGTCAATTAAAATCAAATAAATTAAGTAAAAAGAAAGAAAGTAGAAAGTCGGTAGCGGCAGCAGAAGACGAGAGTTGAGCTGAGTTTAAGCTGACAAGAGAAGAGAAGAAAGATGGGAGAGCGGAAAATGCGAACCTGAAACGATCTCTTGAGAGGCTCATCAACTGCCATTTCCCCAGATTCCACCAATAAAAAAAACAGTAGAAATATCAGAAACAGTGAAAATAAAAAATATAAAACACCAAAAGGTAAGAAAGAGGAAAGAGAGAGAGGAAGCACACCTCGGTCCATCAGAGCTTGGAACTGCTTGATCGCTTCCTGAGAAACGATCCCCATTTCTCTTCTGCTGCTGCTGTGCGCCTGTGTCTCTAACTCTCTCTAACTCTCTAAGGAGGATCAGAGTGAGTCTCTGTTCTCTTTGTATGGATTCTCATATGACCGTTTTTCTGTTAATTTTCGTTAGGTATTATTTATGTTTAATTTTAAATAAATAAATTTAAAATAGTTTTTAATCGTATTATGTATGATAGATGGTTAGAATGTTGGAATTTTAGGATTCGGATGGAATCTAAATCTAAAAATGGGAGGCAAAGCAATGTGATTTGCGCCAAATTAGTACTTGTGCCAAACAGCCAGCACAGCACAGCACAGGTATCCCAGCTGAAAGATTCCTCCCAAACCGATCGCCCAATCAATGATGGGTCAGCTCTATCCCTCCTCCTCGTCGACTCTCGGTAGTAGTGTAGGACCCCACACCACAAAATCCGGCCACGTTTTTTGGATAAATTACATAGTAACCTCTCATGTTTGAGGTCTATTGCAATTTTATACAACATCTTTAAAATATTTCACTTTCATACCTCAAGTACTATTTTATTTCAATTTCATACAACCATTACATTTTCCATTCATGAATCTGTTAAATGCTGACGTGGCTGCCAAATGTCTGTCACTTGGCAAATAAAATAATTTGTTTTTTTTTTAAACCTGTCTGCCAATTTTTTTTTTCTCTTTCTTCTTCTTCTCTTTCTTCTTCTTCTTCTTCTGGGTTCGGTCCCTTTTTTTTTTTTTTTTCTTCTCCTCCTCCTCCTCCTCCTCCTCCTCTGGGTTGCAGGGGATTTGATCATTCTTTTTTTTTTCCCTTCTTCTTCTTCCTTCTCCTCATCTTTCTTCTTCTCTTATTCTTCTTCCTCCTTCTGGTTCGGTCCCTTCTTTTTTTTTTTTTTTTCTTCTTCTTCTTTCTTCTCCCTCCTCCTCCTCTTTCTTCTTCTCTTCTTCTTCCCCCTCCTCCTCTTTCTTCTTCTCTTCTTCTTCTTCCTCCTTCTGGTTCGGTCCCTTCTTTTTTTTTTTTTTCTCTTCTCTTCTCTTCTCCCTCCTCCTTCCTCTTTCTTCTTCTCTTCCTCCTCTTTCTTCTTCTCTTCTGGGTTCGGTCCCTTTCTTTTTTTTTTCTTCTTCTTCTTCTTCTCTTCCTCCTCTTTCTTCTTCTCTTCTGGGTTCGGTCCCTTTCTTTTTTTCTTTTTTTTTTTTCTTCTTCTTCTTCTTCTCTTCCTCCTCTTTCTTCTTCTCTTCTGGGTTCGGTCCCTTTCTTTTTCTTTTTTTTTCTTCTTCTTCTTTCTCTTCCTCCTCTTTCTTCTTCTCTTCTGGTTCGGTCCTTTCTTTTTTTTCTTTTTTTTTCTTCTTCTTCTTTTCCCTTCCTCTTCTGGGGTTCGGTCCCTTTTTTTTTTTTTTTTCTTCTTCTTCTTCCTCCTCCTCCTCTTTCTTCTTCTCTTCTTCTTCTTCCTCCTTCTTCTTCTGGGTTGTAGGGGTTCGGTCCTTTTTTTTTTCTTCCAATTTCAGGTTTTTTAAAAAAAAAATAAAAAATTATTTTTATTTGCCACGTGGCTGACATTTGGCAGCCACATGACATATATGTGGCAGCCACGTCAGCATTTAACAGATCCATGGATGGAAAATGTAACGGTTGTATAAAATTGAAATAAAATAGTACTTGAGGTATGAAAGTGAAATGTTTTGTTGTATAAGATTGCAAATAGACCTCAAACCTAAGGGGCTACTATGTAATTTACCCACGTTCTTTCTTGTGTTTAATTTTTTTAGATTTTGTTAGATTAAATGTTAGATTAGGTACCAACGGAATTCAAACCACACTGATATATAAGAGCTCAACTTCTTTCTTTCACTGTGGTAAAGGGCCACTTGTTAATCTTTTTTTTTTTATATTAAGAATAGTAATATTTTTTTAATAAATGATATTATCAACCCTACAATGAGGGGGATGAGTTTAGTCTCATAATGAGTTAGCAATAATATGATTCAAATTTGCCTTTGGCGAGAATTGAATTAAGATATCTCACTTACAAGTTGAGAGAAATTTTTACTAGACCGGAGTGGAGTACTAAGTGGCATTAAGAATAGTAATTTGAATCCAAAAAGAGTTTAAGATTAGTATTATTATAGGTGGGTAAAAAGGAATTCAAAAGTGAGTATACTGGAATATAAATCCTCATAAAGTGAGTATTCTGGAATTCAAAAGCTATAAACTCCAATTCTAACCTGCAACAAGGAGCATATTTCAAGAGTGAGAGCAAAGTTAACCGGTAGGCTTTGAGTTCAAAGTATCAAGTAACTCTATCTACTTGTTAATGGAGTGAAATCATAAATCCTTATATAGTGGCGTGGGTTTGTCGTAGTTTGTTACCCTACCCTACCCTAATATCGTGGGAGATGCTCACAATAGGTTGCGAGACTTGGGCCTTCGACGACTATTTACACGAGCCCAGTGAAGTACGTGTCTAATCCTTGATTACGTTTTCCTCGGAGGAAGCTTCCTGGCACTTTACACTTCACACGTGAACTTTGCTTTTCTTCTGTTTAATTTTCATGGAAAAAGAAAAGCATGTTTGACTATGGTTACATAATAACGTTTTAACATACAACAAGTCATGCAGCCTGCCATATTCAATCAACCCAATGTGGCACAAGTTCATTTTTTTTAAATTAAATATATGAATACATTAAATATAATGGTTGGGATTGAATATAAGTAAATGTAACGATAAAAAAAGAATTTCACAATCTAAACTTAAATCCAACCGCTAAACAATTAAAAAAATCTATTTAAATCAAAATTCAACCAAAAATTCTATAAACGCTTTTGTATTTGTCTAAATATCCACACAAAATCACTTTCATCTAATTCTTCATTTTTTTTTCTAGAGTAAATTGTAGTAATGGTCCCTCAACTAAAAATCTATTACCATTGGTTCCTCAACTCATCAAAACGTGCAGCTATAATCCTTCAACTAAAAATCAATTACCAATGGTCCCTCAACTTTAATTCAACTGGAGAAATGGTCCCTCAACTTTAACAAAATTGTAGCAATGATCTTTCCAACATAACTCATTTTGACAATATTATGACGAAGTTGATGAAAATGACCATAGCTACACGTTTTGATGAGTTGAGGGACCAATGGTAATGGATTTTTAGTTGATGGACCATTGCTCCAATTTGATTAAAGTTGAGGGACCATTACTATAATTTACTCTTCTTTCTATCCACCTATGTATTTCTGTTTAAGGATGGGATCGGTTGTGAGGTTTTCCACGTTCTTTCATGTGGTGCATGTGTGTTCATCATTTATTATAAATTAAATATTTTAGGTTAAAATGTTTATAAAAATAAATTAGGATAATCGACATAATTTTTTTTTTTAAATTATAAAAAAAAGGCTAAAATCGTTCTTCAATATTTTGGGCAAAAAATTTCAGCCAAAACCATTGGAGGAGGAAAACTGTTTCTGGGTTAGAACCTAAATGTTTTGGGTTAAAAATTTTAAGTTTTAACCCTAACCATTGGAGTTGGTCTTAGAATTGTTTTTTATTTATTTATCAAAAACTGCTTTATTTTAAAATTTAAAGTTTAGCAATAAAAAGTGCTTGGTAAAACTAAAATATCCTGCTTATTTTAAAAACAATAGTCTCCAGACAGTAGCTTTTAAAATCAACATGTATGTTGCTTTTAAAAGTTACTTTTATTAAAAGCTGAATTGAGCTTTTAATGAATATTTTCAATTCTTTGTAGTACACATTTTATCTATGGGAGAACAAAATGATAGTCACCACCTAACACAACCACCGCTATTACCACCACCATCGTTGTCAGCATCGTCTTCACAACCACAATTGTCACCATTGTCGTTGCTGCCACCATACCACTATCGTTACATTTGCACCCGGACCACCACACTCCCACAATTGTCGTCACTATCAACTCAACCACTCCCACCGCCGTCATCACCACCACATACAACTGCAATCACCACCATCATTTTCACTGCCACAGCCACCGATGCCACCACCACCACCAACACAAGTATAATCACCGCCGCCACCACCACAAGCATAATCGCCACCGCCGCCACCACCACAAGCATAATCGCCACCGCTTCCTTTACAACAACTGCTACCCCCAATCACCATGAGCTTTTAGCATTATATCAATTTGCACTGTGAGGCTTTTATATCAAGTTATTCTGTAAACGAGTCCTATATTTTTTATGTTATCAATTTAACGAAGGACCAAACGGTTATACAACTCAAAGACATTAGTTGATACGATTTTAAAATTGCATGGCACAAAATTGAGAAACTTGAAACTCCATAATCTATTTCAAAAATTAATTTAAACTTAGATGATGTAAGCTGTAGTTAAGCACTAGAAGGAAAATACAACAGAATTGGCAATCGCAAAGCTGTGACCCCTAACCTCTAAAATTTGCAGCCGCGAGCATCACAATATTTATATATATTTTTTTTGAACAAATCTATATTTAAATATTAAACATCAATACATTGATCGATCATTAATCTATAATAATAGGCTAATAGCAATGATAATACGTTGTTATGGTTTGATTGCTGCTTATTATTATTAAAGACTAGTAAGCGGCCGCGATTCCCTTTAATTATACGAATATTCCGTACGCGTTACGTATTACAAAATTCAAAGTGTATTTTCAGCATGACATTTTAAACGTACGCTCCTGCTTTGATGCATGTAAATTAAGGTAAATGCGGAAGGAAATGACTTCGCTGGAGCCCTATATATGTTGTATGTTGTGCTTGCCCGTCTGAAGACAAACATTGTCCTGTTAAACTATGTCACCAAAAAATACTTACATATAAAATATATGTTTGTTTCATATGGCATAGTGTGACACGTGGCATAACACTATTGGCGCAAACACACGACATCTACATGTATACTACAAAATAATGATGGATATGAGCTGTTGCATTATATCAAGTATTATATTCAAACATATACGGGGAGAGGAGCGGTCAAACCAAAGCAGGTAGAGAGAATTACAAATGAAGCCCTGAAGATATCAAAAGTCAACATATTATAACTAGTCGTCCTTGTACAGCTAGCTATATATGGTTAGCACCAAATACTATTGAAAGATCAACAACCAGTGGCTGACAAAGCAGTAGTGATATCAAAATGTCGTTGAAGTCCAAAGCAGATCGGGAATGGGGTAGTACCAGTACTAGTGGCGCCGGAAGTACTAGTACCGGGTACCGCGATGATCCGCAGCCGCAGCATGATGAAGATGACGACGACGAGTACAGAAATTACTACATGAAGTACAACATATCAAGCAGTAGCATATCCGAGATTGAGGAAGAGGAAGGTGATGACATCGATGATGAGAAGAAGGGTAAGATTAAAATACCAAGCGAGATCAAAGAGCTTTTCGGATTCAAAGGGTACCCGCGGCCGATGCCCTCCATCAAAGAAGATATCGATGATCATAGCAGCCACGATGAGAGCGTTTATGTGGGAGTAGGGAAGGGCGAGTCCAGCATGGACGCGCTGACGTGGTCATTAAAGCACGCGGTGGATCCGTCATCGTCAACCACCGTCTATCTCATACATGTTTTTCCGGAGGTCACCTACATTCCCAGTCCATGTGAGCTCCTCTCACTCTGAATAATCATTTCCTGATCAGTGATCATATGTTTTCCCTTAATTACCTAATGTTACATATATATGTGATAAGATTTTTCCCCTTTTTAATTCTCTTTTTAATTTAATCTAGCTAATTAAGCTATCAGACAACTTAATTACCAAGTTGAAATAAATCCTATTATTTGTATCATCGATCAAGTTCGCATAAATCACGGAGGAAAATTTAAGGCAAACTAGCCTACCCAGTCCATGTTCGTGATGATTTACTTATTCTTAACAAGTATATGCTCTGCTGCACGCTTATATAGAATTAAGATAGTGTTATTTATACACTCATTTTTACTTCCTACAAACCTATTTCTACGTCTTACGCACCTTTGTTAATTTTGTATTGTTGATCTTCTTCAATTCTTTGTGGCCGGAATGAAAATGGTGCATAAGAAGTGAAAATAGCATTACCCTAAAATTATTGCATCTGTATGTAGTTTGTGCGAGTGATCGGATCCCTTGAGCTTGAAATTAAATGATTTGATAACTGTAGTGGGAAAGCTTCCAAAAAACCAAGTGACCTCACAACAGGTAGAAACTTACATGGCCGAGGAAAGAGGCAAGAGGAGAGTGCTCCTTCACAAGTTCATTGATAAATGCTCAGCTGCAAAGGTACAATAATGTTTCATTAATCCCATTACTTAATACTGCAAATTAAACGAGACACCAAATTGTTATATATACTACATTGAACTGCATCACCATCTCCCTTTATTACATTAATACTAGTGTATGCGCGTAGGTTAAGGTGGATACAATACTGATTGAAAGTGATATGATCGGAAGGGCTATTTTGGACCTCATCCCTATTCTCAACATAACAAAGCTTGTCATTGGAACTAACAGATCTAATCTAAGGTAATTAACCAATATATTTATTATAATAAGCTAAACAAATTTCTCAATCGGTCATAATTTATTGGTGAGTTATATATCTGGAAATGCATTGGTGCGTAGGAAAGTTATGTCTAAGAAAGGCAGCGGGATTGGTGCTCAAATACTTCAAAGTGCACCCGAAGGCTGTGAGGTAAACATCATATGCCAAGGAAACCCAGTGACAAAGACGATGATGGATCAGCCTCAGCCACCGACTGAGTCGTCGTTCTCCCCACCTCCCAAGGACGGTACAACGACGATTATTAGTACTACTAATAGAACTACCAACTCTATGCAATTGCAAGGAGACCAACATCAGAGGACTGAAAAGCCGGCCTCTTCATTCTTCTGTTTTAAACCCAAGTCTTAATATATAAACTCAGCAACAGTAGCGATGATAGAGCCCCATGGGCAATGGCCATACCCTTACTTTACCTTTTTGGTGAACACCCTTTACTTGACTTTCCCAAGCGTTCAAAATCATCATTGTAACAATTATACATTTTGTTAAGATATTTACTTGAATGGTCATCATCACTGTAACAAATTACATGCATATGTTTTATCTGAATTTCAAGAAACCGGATTGCAATCCAAGTTCTATTTCTATCTGAATTTCATATCGTTTATATTTTCAATTGTTAAGTTTTAAATCGTTATGCACGAATAAGTTGACAGCTGTTAATCGGAGATATTTTGCAAATCTCATAGGGTACGGACAGTACAGAAGATGAAGAATAAGAGGACTTATACCAGTCTTTTTCTCAGGGAAGGTTGTTGGGTACGAAACCCCTAATCCGGATGGTGGGGGGAGGGTTTAGGATAGTGGTGGGCCATGGGAGATTTTATGAGTATATATATTTTTTAGTACATCGATATTTTTATATTAAGAAATAGATAATTCGGTTAAATTACACAATAAGCAACCTAATTTAATAAGATGGTCTGACTTCCGATCCTAAAACTTTCTCTTTTATCATAGTTAAACCCCGTGACGGTGTATGTCTGGTACGCAACAATTTGCATTACAAGAAGAAAGGAGGCAATAATTGTGCAATAAAATTTTCTAACTGTCAACAGGCCACAACAACAAACACGCAGTTTCTCATAAGGGAAAATTAGGTTCACATCACTCTTTTTGTTACTTTATTAATTAAAATCATATTTATTTTCAATTTTTAATTAAGATCCTTGAGTATTAATAATATTATTAATTATTTGAATAATAAAATATTTTTATTTTTAAATATATTTCTTTAATGTTAACAATGTTACAATTAGTATATTTTTATTTATGGTTAAATTTTTTATCATATATTTTTATTTTTGAGCGATCTTGTCAGTTTGTGACAAAATTTAAGTCCGGTGTAGGGCTTGCTTGGCATTTGATTTCTTAAATGTTTATCCACTATTTCTTCGGCCTTCATCTTAATCTACGAAATATACATTGGACCTTCACCTTCTCAAGCACAATGGCGTAGCCATAAATTATTTGATGGGTGGGCTAAGCTAAAATTATTAATCCGAAATCAAAATTTTAATCATATTTTGTCTTCATAAAGTTATATAATAGTAAAAACTTGAATGTAGTAATTTGAAGCAAGAATTTTATGCTATTTTTTTCTAGGTTTCTAGCCTTCAAAGCTTTCAAGTGAATAAAATAAGAAACCATTTGTGGTATGAAAGTTTTAATTTATTACTATTAAATATAATATTGGTTAAAGTGATGAGTTTATTTAACATCTATTAGCTCTTATTATTCTTAAAAACAACCTTACTAATAAAAAAATTTCATTTCTTAAGTGAAATATGACAATTAAAAATCATAAACTAACCCAAAAACTAATATTTTTAAGCTTGAAGAATCAAACTCTCCCTATGCTATAGCCTAGGGGAGCCTTGTACTTGGCTCCGCCCTTGCTCAAGCAAGCCAGTTTTCTTCATGCAAAACTGGTTTATTCCTGACTCTAAGAGAAAAACTAATGGAAGTGGTTTATGTATGGTAGTCTACTCCAAGGGATGAGCTCATAATTATCTCGCATGCAAATAATATATATTAACTGCACAAAGTTTATAATGGAAACCGTTTCAGTTTCATCATCCACATTAAATACCACTCCTATAAAAAATCATTTGAATAAGGGATTATTTAGTCATTAAAATATATAACAACTTAACATAGTAAGTACCAAATAACATATTCATAATAAACTGCTCATTTATTTGACACTTTGAATTATTATATAATTAATTTTCGATTCAATTAATTTTTCGTAAAAGTGATCCTCAAATGATGATTAATAAATTGAATAGTTTTGATCGTTAAATTTATATATGCTCAAGATACGTTATTCATAAATAGAGGGATATGTGCATAGTATTATCCTTTCTGAAATCCTATTAAGTTTCAAGGCTGGTGCTTAAAAAAACACATGGTAAATCAAATCTTCCATTTGTAAGATAATAATTGGCAAGTTATATTGAAAAAATTTACTACTAATTATAATAATGTATTATGTAATAAAATTCTACATTATTAACTTGTGCATCTGAATAACAGCTGTATTATTCATATGTGTTGACGCATTATCTACAAAAACTTGTTATACTCAATGTGTTAATTTCAACCTTACCTTTATAAGGGAAATGCAACACGAATAAAGTAAATTATAATAGTGTGTGAGAAAGAGTGCGAAGCTGAATTCAAATACGGCGGCTGTACTGTGTAGGCTCTAGTTAATTAAAGTCGCCGTCGATGAAAACGTATATTGGTGGGTGAGCCATGTGGCAACTCGACTAAACTTAAAGTAATAATATGTTCAATATTGATGGCCGGCTTGCTCACTCCATAGGTACATTTTTGTTTATCATCATAATTATGATGTATATTTATTATATACTTAATTATTTGATAAGTATTTTTTTATTTAATTCTAGTTAATTTTTACATTAATATTAAATTTTAAAATTTGAAAAAAAATTACCATAATTAAGTGAAATAACATGTGTTAGATGATTATGTATATGATACGCATACACCAAAATTTAAGGTGGTGAGTAAAGAAGCTCCCCTCCATACTCCATAGTCCATGCTAGAGGCACAAATGATGTACATAACGGTAGTTGTCATCACTTAATTAGAAAATATTTTTGGTTAGAGTCTTACATATTTACATGAAGTTTGACACTTAATTAAGGTTAACAAGTTTATAATTGTTTAAATTTGTTATAGTTTGTATTAAAGTATTTATTGTAAAATATGTTGGTAAATATCCGTCAAAAAAAAAAGAAAAAAAGTAGGCGAGTAGGGGATCATGCACAATAAAAACGAGGACGGGATCATTCACAATAAAAACGAGGACGGGATCATTCACAATAAAAACGAGAACGGGATCATTCACAATAAATTGAAATGTGATGACACCCTGGCTCACGTGAATACTGCTGTGCTGCCTGCCCGCCTGGCTGACGTGTAAGGCATTATGTATGTGTCTGAGTGTGACTATGAATTATGATGAGAGAGAGGAAAATTAGCAGAAGCACTCCACAGTCAAACAAACAAGCAACGAGTCGCCAGTGGAGTGCTGCCGCTGTCCCTCGATTACTTGGGAGTTGAACTTTGTACGTCTTTGTATCTTATGACCCTCAGCCTGTGTGCTAACCACGATTGTGCCATTGTCCTTGTCGTGGCTGGCAGGAAAGAAATTGCCTGAAGCCAAACCAGTAGAATATTACTATTAACAACCATGCATGCATTTTGTTTTTGCTAAAAATAACGTCTCGTCTTTACTACAATATAACCACTTAAATATCATATATAGCTCGTGCATCACATGGACGTATTTTTCCCCACTTGTTTTTAGTTATCACACACTTCTCTTTATTTATAAATATATATCTATTTACTTTTAAGTAACAAGTCTTAAGTTAAAATATCAAAAATAATAATATTTTCAACTAATTTATTTTGCAATCTCCTTAGTACAAATATATCATGAATCAAAAGAAAAGAAAAACATGACCAAGTGATTTTCATTCCACCATCATACTGTAAAGGCAAGTGTGTTCATTATCAAAAAAAATTTGGATCATGTTGTAAACGGTCGGACATGCATGATGTGTAGATATTATGATAAATTATTGCAAACAATGTCAATTCCTAAACGAACCTAGCTTTTAAATTGGGAAGGATTCATGTCATCAACTATCATATTAAAATTGCAATTAATTATTCACAAGTTTTACCTTTTAAGAGGGTAAAAAGACATTAATATTAAAAAATACTTTACACATGATAATGTATTATTAGATTGACACACCAGTCGTTTAATGTGTATCATTCTCTACTTGTTTTTATGAAAGTTTCAGTGGGTTACTTAACTTGTAAGAAACAAAAGAGAGAAAAAATTGTGAAGTGAGAAAATGAAGAATGGCAACAAGTGCAAATTGTGAGAGAATTGGTACCCAAATGATTGAGTTTAAAAGCTGAAAGTCAGTGACTCGTTTATTTAACTTCCCTTCCCTCTCTGTATACTAATAAAAGTCCTGTTGTCCATACAAAGAAAAGCACACATCTCTCTCTGTCTGTCTTTGAGTCTGCGAGTCTGATCTTATCTGGGGAGGGCTGTGAGAGTGGTAGTATCTGTCTGGTGGCAGATTAGATTGGCAAATTGTCAATGGCGGATCTCAAGTCAAAGTTTCTGAAGGTGTACTCCGTTCTGAAATCGGAGCTGTTGGAAGACCCTGCTTTCGACTTCACCAATGACTCTCGCCAATGGGTTGAGCGGGTATTGATCTCTTCATTCTTCACTTTTACCATCACCAATACAATTCAATTCAATGAATTCGTTTGGTATCGCTGTCTATTTTCTCATATTTTTATTACAAGTAAAATTGGAACTCCATAACCATAATCCATCAACTGTTTCCTTCCTTTGTTTACGAAGTCAAAACAACACATTTGATATAATTTCGGTGATCTAATTCCAATCTGTCGTCGTCGGGATTTTACATACATCATTAGCCCCATCACTTGCAATAATTGAAGCCCACCTGCATTTAGACGATTGGGATTCTCTCCTGAATCCTGTACTGACTGCCAAATTTTCCTTTTTCTGTTACAGATGCTGGACTACAATGTGCCTGGAGGCGAGACTTGAGTTTCAGTTCAATTTCTTAATTAAGCGATCAATTCATCAGCTTGTCCTTCAAGTATGCCTGTCAAAGGATTCTGACTCTTTTCCTGTCCTTCAGGGAAGCTTAATCGGGGATTGTCTGTTATCGACAGCTATCAGTTGTTGCAACAAGGAAGGGAATTAACTGAAGATGAAATCTTCCTGGCCAGCGCTCTCGGTTGGTGCATCGAATGGGTATGGAAACTAAACCACTTCCATTCTCTTTTGAGCCTCTACATATTATTGTTTAGCTTGTTTCAGCATTACTCTAGTGCATTGCACGAGAAGCTTTCAATTTTATGGTTTTACTACTTTCAGCTTCAAGCATTCTTTCTGGTTCATGATGACCTCATGGACGGCTCTCACACACGGCGTGGTCAACCTTGTTGGTTTAGATTGCCCAAGGTTTGTAGGAGGAGCAACCATATGTACGTTAATTTATTCATTTTTGTGTTGTCTTTGTAGTTAAATCAATTAACTTGGGAAGCTGTACCATGTAGGTTGGTATGATTGCAGTAAACGATGGTGTTGTGCTTCGAAACCATATCCCAAGGATTCTCAGAAAGCATTTCAGAGAAAAGCCATATTATGTGGATCTTCTTGATTTGTTCAACGAGGTAGGGGACTTGCAAATTGTTGACCGGATAATTTCTCTCCTTCATAGAGAGCTAAACGCTAACTTATGTCATGTTTCCGCAGGTGGAATTTCAAACTGCCTCAGGTCAGATGATAGATTTGATCACTACTATCGAAGGAGAAAAAGACCTATCCAAATATTCATTGTCAATGTGAGTGAAAAGTCGTACAAGATCATTGCCATTTGCCCCTAATAAAATGCTTGTAGGCATGCTAAGATTCAAACCCATATGCTATTGCCTATTATGAATCTCAATGCACCATGCTGTAGAAAAGAATGCAAGGGTTTCCATGCAATTCACAGATGCACGTTGAGAAATGAATCTTGTTACAGAGACCGATCCTTTGCCTTATTTTGTTTGGTGTATTCATAAGCTTTCACTATTGGAACAATTTTCCATCTTCATAATATGTAATGCTTAATTCCTTGTGCATCCTGTCAGCTATGGGTTATCAAAGTCCAAACAGTCTAAACATCCTGCGCTTGTGACCACTTATTGGATTCCTTTCAGTAGGCTATGAAGTTTTGCCATGTATGCTGGCCAGTGGAGTTAAATCTCACCGTCTGATTGAATGTTTCTCTGTTAAATTTTTCTGACAACTCTCATTGCTTAGGAATAGAAATATTCATTTGGGGTGCCGGGTATGTTAAAAATTGGAACCTCTTGAGACCTTTTCGTAGGCTATGAGTATGGTGAGCATGGTAACCTGAGACAACTCTCACAATGTGACTGTATCGTTTTTCTTTTGGTTATTTATTCAAATAATGAGCATATTAGTTTTCTATTTCTGTCCAGCTATGACATGGTACTTTTCGATTTTCTGTGCATTTGATAATATACAAATGGTTTGGATCTTTTGCAGTCACCGGCGTATTGTTCAGTACAAGACTGCCTATTACTCATTTTACCTTTCAGTAAGTACTTACTTCTTTAGCACTTAAAAGCAATAAATACTTGAATTGTTAGTGTTCCTTAATTCTGTTTCAGTGTTTGTGCGGGAACGCTATTTTAAACCAGCATGTTTATCCTGTATATTCTATGCCTAGTCTGTGAAATTTGATTTCTTTGGTCTTTGTTGTCCCATCCTCTCATGCATGTTCGGTTTTCTCACATTTATCGCGAAGGAAATCAGGTGGCATATTGTTTGGCAAAACTATGGTGTTGATCATGTTGGGATTCTTGTCTGCCGTGTGCAGTTGTGGCTTTTGCTCACAATCTTTTGGGGCTTCCAAATTTTCGTTTCTCATAGAAGTTCTCTTAATTGATTTTTGTTTCTAATAATTTTCTACTTCTTGTTAGGGTTTGGCTTCATGTCCTCTCTAACTTATTGTATCTTTACTTTTTTTTCTTCAATATATATTCACAATAATATTTTTTTCCATGATAGCAATGCTGGAGTGGATGTGACATTATTGTTTTAATTAAAAAAATAAAAAAATACTCAGCTTTCTTAAAAAAATAAAAAATAAAATCTGAGAAATAACCCGACATTTTGGTTCCTTTTTCTGTATTCATATCATAAGATATGCACATCCACATTGTATGGCATGTCCTCTTATTTTGTTCAGGTGTTTTACAATGAAAGACATGCTAACCCTAACTGTTTGCTATCTACTCAGGTTGCATGTGCATTGCTTATGTCAGGTGAGGAACTGGAAAAACATATTGACGTAAAAAACATTCTAGTTGAGATGGGGATTTACTTTCAAGTACAGGTAATTTTTTTGTTGAATACACAGAAACAGAGTCCCTATTGGAACTCTTCTATTGCTTTCGTTAACTCTTTTTTTTTTTTTTCCTTTATTTAAATAGGATGATTATTTGGATTGCTTTGGTGATCCGGAAACGATTGGTAAGGTGAGATTCAGGGAGATGGCTCTTAAATATTTCTCTTTTGTTTCTTGTTTGATGGGAGTTGAGTTGTAATAAGTAGTTTGGGATATCAGATAGGAACAGATATTGAAGATTTCAAGTGCTCTTGGCTGGTGGTGAAAGCTTTGGAACTCTGCAACGAGGAACAAAAGAAAGTACTACATGTAAGAATCAGATGTGGCTCCTTTGGCTTTCATATATGGGAACTGTTATTAACATTCTAAAAATCTCATTCTACACTCACAAGTGTATTTTTTTTTCTAATTATAGAAAGTTTGAAGTGTAAAATGAGATTTTTGGAGGGTCAATAACAAGTCCCTATATATATATATCTTGTCTGCTGTTTTCTAATCAGCTTTAGATTTTCTCACTCACTAAGTCACTAATGACTATGATTTCTGTACGTGTTTGCGCAGGAGAATTATGGGAAACCAGACCCAGAAAATGTGGCAAAAGTAAAGGCCCTCTACAAAGAACTCGATATTGAGGTTTGAACTTAATTGATTGTGTATGATGAATGGTAATAGTATAAGATGACTGGTAGATGCTGAATTGAGATTGTGATTGTGATTGTGGTAGGGTGTATTTGCGGATTATGAGAGCAAAAGCCACAAGAAACTGACGAGTTGGATTGAAGGGCACCCAAGCAAAGCGGTGCAAGCAGTGTTGAAGTCCTTCTTGGGCAAGATTTACAAGAGGCAGAAATAGAAATCTCAAATCTGGATTCAGTTCAGCCCCTCCTATTTGTATTTGGTGCATTTGTAATAAAACATGCAGTTGCATTTGGTTTGCGTCAGTCAGAGTCAGGTTTGCTTCACTTAGTTATAAGTTGAGTCATCAGTGTTGAATGCAGACAGACAATAAGCATCCACGTTAATTAATACAAAGTTTCTCAGTTTCCAGTTGAGAATATTAAACAACCTGATTAGTGATTAACTCCTCCAGCCTCCTGCGCTGAGAATCAGATTGATGACAAATGTTGACTCCATCTCCATCTCCATCTCCATCTTAATTGATCTGTTTAGCAGATACCGTTCTCGAGAGCCTCGAGGTACTCCTCCATGTCACACTTGATCCTAGTCGATTTCACTTCCAATCTGATACAGAAAATGTAGGCAATGCTATAGAAGATGGTCACCAACTAATAATTAATACAAGGACAATACCCAATCTATTTATTACAAACTAGCCTCTTTTCTCTTTCATTTTATTTTTATTTTTTAAATTTATATTTAAAATGTGATTTAAAAAATTCAAAAGAAAAATGTCAACAAAACTATTTCTAGTTCCATCGTGGAGAAAAAGAAAAACATGGGGATGAAACATCTCTTTCAAAAGTTCTAAGAAGAAAAGAGCATTTTTGGTACGTTGAAAGCTCGTCATTTTGAGAGTTATGACTATTATTACAAATAATAAAAAGTCAACAGGTCAAATATCCTAAACTCAATAGGAAATTGAAAAAAAGGAAAAGAAAAGAATAAACCAAAAGTCTCTCAGCTTTAAAATTTCAACTTTTAATTGAAAAATCTCCCCATCCATCCCTTCCCTTTCCATTTTTAATCATCCCTTGGTTTTATCCAAAAAAAAAAGAAAGAAAAAACACTGTCTCTTTGTTCCTTGTTCTGAAAAAAGTAATATATTTGTTCCAAAAAAGGGGCTTGGCCGTTGGGTTCCTAACTTCCTGTCTCGTCGCCATCTCCTCTTTCTTTCGTTCATTCATTCAATCTGTTTTCTTCTGTTATGACTTGTCAGCTTTGAGTTTGCGTATTATTCAGGAAGAAACCCAGATCAGATCAGGCGAGTGATTCTTCCCGCATTACCATGACGTGACAACTCCTCGTCGCCGTCGGAGCTTTTCCTCCTCAAATTTATTTTCCCTGTTAATCTTTAATCTTATTCGTATAATTTACGATTCCCTTTTGATTACAACAATCAATTTTGACTGACGGATTTGTTTTGTTGATAAATTGTAAATGGTGATCATACCAACGTACAGTCCAATCCAATAAATACAAAACAAAAGAAGCAAGGGAGGAGGGATTTTGTTGTCTGTTGGTGGGTTGTGGTTTTGCTGCATGCATTGAATTGAATTGAATTGAATTGTGGTGGTTAGACAGATTAGATAGAATTACAACATCATTCGCCATTGATCATCATCAGAAGAAACAAAAGAAAAGATGAAGCTGGTGGTTCAAGTATTGGGGGCTCGGGATCTACCAGCGATGGATCTCAACGGCTTCAGTGATCCGTACGTGAAGGTGAAGCTCGGGAAGCACAAGCTCAGGACCAAAGTGGTCAAGAAGACCTTAAACCCCTATTGGGGGGAAGAGTTCGCCTTCAGGGTCGACGACCTCAACGGCGAGCTCGTCTTCTCTGTCCTCGACGAGGACAAGTACTTCAACGACGACTTCGTTGGCTGCGTCCGCATCCCTGTTTCCCAAGTCTTCGATGCCCGCAACAAGTCCCTTGAAACTGCTTGGTACCCTCTCCACCCCAAGAGTAAAAAATCCAAGAACAAGGATTGCGGTACTACTTTTACATTCTTGTGCTAAATTAAATATGCCTACTCGCCTTTTCTTTTTCTTGTTAAAATTTCTCATGCTACCTGGTGCACTAGTCTCCACATCCAAATGCTTACGTTTCATGCTTTCCAAGTACAAAACTTGGGATTCTTGTCCCACATTTAGATATGAATTCTTTTATTTATTTTTTCAAAAAAAGAACATTGCTTACTGGCAGGCAATACCAAATTACCAATACCCCATTTGTGAATTCTAGCTAAATGTCATAATGTGGTTGGATTTGTCTCCAAGTCAGTTCATTTAAAATATTTCTCTGTCTGATTGTCTTCCTGACAGGCGAGATTCTTCTTGCATTACATTTTTCTTCAAACAATTCATTCGCGGACTTGGCTTCTGAGGGTGGTGACATGGGAATTGAATCACCTTCAAGGTCTCTCAGTTGTGTTTCAGAATCAGCTTCTCCTGTGAGAGTGAGACCAGAAGAAACTGCATCTTTTAAGGACTTTAAGGAAGAAAAGCTTTGTTCTCAGAAGACCTTTGCTGGTCGCATAGCTCAGATATTCAATAAAAATCCAGATTTACTTTCAGCCTCCTCTAGCAGAGTGGACTTATCCGAGCTTTCTGAAACTGCTAAACCCGACGTTTGTGAGAGCAGCTCTGAGGATCAGTCCTCTTCCGCGACATTTGAAGAATTGATGAAAACAATACTCTCACGAGATCAAGAGAGTGAAACCCCAACCAACTTGCCTGGAGGAGTGCTTCTCGATCAACTCTATGTCACTCCACCCCAAGACCTAAACACGTTACTATTTTCAACAGATTCAGGTTTTCATAAAGAAGTGGCAGATGTCCATGGAACTACAGAATTGGATCTAGGACAATGGAAATTAGATACCAGCACCGAGACCGTCAAAAGAGTGGTGACATATATTAAGTCTGCAACTAAATTGATAAAGGCAGTCAAAGGAACTGAGGACCAAACGTATCTCAAAGCCGACGGGAAGGTTTTTGCTGTTTTAGCAAGCGTAAGCACTCCTGATGTTCCCTATGGGCGCACTTTTAAGACGGAGTTGCTCTACTGCATAACACCTGGCCCCGAGCTGCCATCAGGAGAACAATCTTCACGTCTGGTAATATCCTGGCGGATGAATTTTCTGCAGAGCACCATGATGAAAGGAATGATAGAAAATGGAGCTCGACAAGGTTTAAAGGACAGTTTTGACCACTTTGCTACTTTATTGTCTCAGAATGTTAAGCCAGTCGATTCAAAGGATCTTGGATCCAACAAGGATCAGGTTTTGGCATCACTGCAAGCTGAACCCCAGTCTGATTGGAAGCTGGCAGTACAATATTTTGCCAATTTCTCTGTGATCTCCACATTGTTTATTGGATTGTATATGCTTGTACACATCTGGCTTGCCCAACCCAGCACTATTCAAGGGCTGGAGTTTGTTGGGCTTGACTTGCCAGACTCAATTGGTGAATTCATCGTCTGTGGTGTCTTGGTTCTTCAAGGAGAAAGGGTTCTGGGGTTGATCTCACGTTTCATGCAGGCCAGAGCACAAAACGGTAACATCGCTTTTAGTGGTTGCTTTTGCTTTAATAACAGACTCTTAGCCTCTGCCCTTCTCTAGTTGACAGTGTGATCCTTTTTCATCAAACAATTAATTCCATTTGTGTCATTATCACTATCACTATACCTGCCAGGTTTTATCTACTCCATAAACTCTAACGTTTAAGAATACTACATTTTTTACTGATGCTGCTTGCTCAACAATTATTTTTCTCTTCAATGGGGAGAACACAGATGTGCATTTTTCAAACTGTGTCTAAGCTGTTCAAAATCCTAATTTTCTTGATGTCCGTATGTTTATCTTGTTATATTTTTTTTTATTTTAAATGCGATTTATTAGTTATCATCTTTGTGTGTCTTATAGGCAGTGATCACGGAGTCAAAGCCCAAGGAGATGGTTGGTTGCTAACTGTTGCCTTGATTGAAGGAAGTAACATAGCAGCTGTCGATACAAGTGGGTTTTCTGATCCATACGTGGTGTTCACTTGCAATGGGAAAACTAGAACCAGCTCAATCAAGTTTCAGAAATGCAATCCTACATGGAATGGTGATTTTCCTTTTACCTGATTTTTTAGTTTGTTTGCTTTTGCATTTATACTTCTTCCAATGACATTTGTCAATGCATATTTGAACAGTAATGTCAATCTACAGTTTAGAATATGTCTAGATTATGCAAACTTATATGAACTAAATCTTGGTCTGATTGATGTCTTGTTGGTCTCCACAGAAATATTTGAGTTTGATGCAATGGATGAACCTCCTTCTGTGTTGGATGTGGAAGTTTATGATTTTGATGGACCTTTTGATGAAGCTACCTCACTGGGTCATGCTGAAATCAATTTTGTAAAAACTAATATATCAGATTTAGCTGACTTGTGGGTTCCTCTTCAAGGAAAGTTAGCTCAGGCATGCCAGTCAAAACTCCACCTGAGAATTTTCTTAAACAATACAAGAGGTGGCAATGTAGCAAATCATTTTTTGACTAAGATGGAGAAGGAGGTGGGAAAGAAGGTATAGCCGTCCATTACTTTCGAAATTCACATTACCGGTGTTCTTTTGCTGATATTCCCTTTTTAGTAGTGTTCTACATTCCTTTCATATATTATTACTCATGATTATTAGTGAAAACTATTCTAGATAACTGTGCGGTCTCCTCAAACAAATTCAGCATTCCAAAAACTGTTTGGGCTTCCACCGGAGGAATTTCTCATCAACGACTTTACCTGTCACTTGAAACGAAAAATGCCCCTGCAGGTGCTGTTAATATGGTTATACACCCTGTTGAAATTGTCCTATTGACATTAAACTTTCTATTTGATTCTTGGAGCCATACCTGTAGAGCATGCAACCTTTTCTTGCTCCTCATTTTCTGTTATATGTTATTTATATTTCTTATCTTATAGTTCTTCCCGTGCAGGGCCGCCTATTTCTTTCTGCAAGAATAATTGGATTCCATGCAAATTTATTTGGTCACAAGACAAAGTTCTTTTTCCTGTGGGAGGATATAGAGGATATTCAAGTTGTACCTCCAACTCTGTCATCTATGGGCAGTCCAATTGTAGTCATGACTCTGCGGCAGGGTAGAGGTATGGATGCAAGGCATGGTGCAAAGACACAAGATGAGGAAGGCAGGCTCAAGTTCCATTTCCAGTCCTTTGTATCTTTCAATGTAGCTAACAGGTACTCGAAGGACTTCCTAGAATAGCATGGCATTCACTTCAACAAAGTTGAAACTCTTTTATTAATTTTTGTGATCTTCTTCTCTCTTTAATTATTAGATATCATTTATTCGGTGTATGTTGGGTCTCCCCTTGCCTTCTTTTGACTTAGTTTAGATCTCTGCCGTTCCTTGCTCTTTCTTTTGCTTGGTGGTGGTTGTGCATAAGTACCCCATCTCAACACTGACTTTACACCATTTTCTGAACAATTGATGCTTGCTTGGACATAAAGATTTGACTCGCAACATCTGATGTTTCTGAATAGGACAATTATGGCTCTTTGGAAGGCTAGGTCTTTGAGTCCTGAGCAGAAGGTGCAAATAGTTGAAGAAGAATCTGATGTCAAGATCCAAGCTGAAGAGAGCGGGTCTTTCTTGGGCCTTGATGATGTCAGCATGTCTGAGGTTTATTCTGCAGCTCATTCCGTTCCTGTGAGCTCTCTCTCTCTCTCTGTCTCTCTCTCTCATAGTGTATCTTTGTTAAAACTAAAATTTCGTCTGCAAGACTGCAACTCGCTTGTCCCTTCTGCTTAAGCTGTCTCATGGAATTAGAATAGCATAGCTTTCATCTAGATTATTTGCTGTGTGGTACTCATGACTATACACATCTTAGTTCTAGTTATTTTAGTTTCTTCTCGATTGACCGTCATATTTGTCTTGTTCGCGAAAATAGACAAATTTCTTCATAGAGCTATTTGGCGGAGGTGAATTGGACCGTAGAGTTATGGAGAAAGCTGGTTGTCTTAACTACTCTTACACCCCATGGGAATCAGAGAAGGGTGATGTCTGTGTGAGGCAAATATATTACAGATTTGATAAACGTGTGTCTCAATATAGAGGAGAGGTGACTAGTACTCAGCAAAAATCCCGCCTCTCTGATAGAAATGGTTGGCTTGTACAAGAGGTCTCGACCCTCCATGCAGTACCGCTTGGCGACTATTTCAATGTATGGATGACATTGAACTTTGCAGAATTCTGTTTAAATAATCCTTTTTCGTAAGTGTGTTCCCCTTGAGTCACTTGTTTCACTACATGATTGACTAGTCCCTTTTCATAATTTGCAGCTTCACGTTCGATACCAAATCGAGGATTTGCCCTCAACACCAAAGGGATGCCAGGTAAAAGTATACTTTGGGGTTGAGTGGCTCAAAAGCACTCGGCATCAGAAAAGAATTACAAAAAATGTACTAAAGAATCTGCAAGATCGCCTGAAGGACACCTTCAGTGTAGTTGAGAAGGAATTCACAAGATAGTGGGTGGATTTGGTGCATTCCTGGGATTGTAGACATTTGACACGACATATGGCAGCTTGGATTGAGCTGGACTGGGTGATATGCCAGCTTGGAGACAATGAAAAAGTGTCTTTAAGCTTTGGCTTGCAGAGGTACGGCAATAACATATGTATGATGGAAGTGGTTGATATGAAGGTGGAAGCGTGTGTGTTGATGCTCTAGCGAGCAGCATGGTCCTGGACGAAACAGTGCTTAGTTAGTGTTTCTGGGACAGAATCTGGACTAGTTTATGGGGGGGGGGGGGGGGGGGGAGGAGGAGGAAGAGTATTTGGTAGTTGCTGGGTTGTGAATAACAGGTGCAGATTATGCAATAACCTTCTAGTGTACATGGAAGTGGCAGGTCTAGTTTTTGTGGTCTTGCCGTTTCTGGCCGAACAGCAGCCGTACTTCGCTGTTGGTGGTGGTGGCCCGCGTGGTTCTTATTCTTTTAGAATAACTCAAACCTGTACCGATTTTATTTATATTTCCTTGTTTGAATTATGAATAGCAATACGAAATTGTTAAATGTGATGTGTCCATATGTATATGGCAGTTTGAAATTTGTACGAGAACCATTTTGTATAACTTGAATCTTCCTTCCTTCCGATATCAATTGTTAACTTGCGATCAAGGAAGAAAATATCGGTAATATCGGAAATATCGGTAGTCCGAAAACACGGAAATATCGATAGAAATATCGGGATAATATCGATATCGATAAAAATTACATGGAAACCACGGAAATTGTAAGAAAAACTTGGAAATTTTTATTGAAACTTTGAAGGATGTTTATTTAGTCAATTATCTATTAGTTTATCACAAAAAATTGGAAGGAAATGCATTGCATGATGGATTTAACATTATCAAGTTGATTATATAGCGAGCTGACAAACATTGTGAGTGTAGAAAATATGTAGAAATTAATGAAAGAAGTCTAAACACACCATAATCATTTATATATAATGAATTAGTACAATATTTTACACTTTATACATTGCATGGTAAGATACATGAGTGACTTAGTACCACATAGAGTTCCTATGAGGTTCAAAATTTTCACTATCTTCATCATCTCTATGTGTAGAGTGAGTGTATTTTAAAGAGTAGTTAGCAACCATGGCAATGGTTTTCAAGAACCAAAACCCAAAAGTCAATAAGAAACCGAATACTTCGGTATTTTTCGGGATTACCAAACAAATGGGATTTGGAAACCAATCCCATATCGAAAATTTTGGTATTTTTCGGGATGGGATTCTCGAACTTCAGGATGGTTTTGGTTTGGGATTTTTCGGTTTGGGTTTGGGACTTTTTCGGTTTGGTTTGGGATTTTTCGGAATTTTTTCCAGCCCTACCATGTAAGTGACCAAATAAAAAATAGAAAAATTAAAAACCACATGCCATTGACTAAGTAATTAATTGACACAATTTAAAATATAATACCACAAAAAATTTGGAAAATGTGCAAATTTGTTTCTTGTAAAAAGAATTCAAAAAAAAATCATATATATAAATATTGTAGCATATTATCACAACAACATAAGTGGTATGGTGGTTAAGGCGCTAAGGAGTTAACGTGGGAGGGGTTCGAACCCCTCTGTGTTCAAAATTGTAACTTTTCAAAATTTTCAGGAATTTTTGAACAAAATATCGCGATATTATAGCTAATATCGCGATATTAGGCGATATTATCGATAATATCGCGATATTTTGACGAAAACTCATTAGATACTCATTAAAATATCGTTAATCCAAAAAAACGAAAATATCTGCGATATTTCGCCGATATTTTGGATATTTTCTTCCATGCTTGCGATCATAAATTATAATATATAGCTTCTTATTTTTTTTTCAATTTAATCTGTTATTAGTGCTAAAAAAATGAGATCAAGCACAGCACCACCAACCGCATAGGAGGTAATACACATCACATATCGTGTAGTAATATTGCAATATATTAAGGGTTGTACTGACATTTTGGATCCGACCTGTTAACCAGATCCTATCCGATTCGACCCGTTAATATTAGTATTTAGATGAATGTTTAATGGGTCGGATTGTTAACGGGTGAACCCGTTAAATAACGGATCATTTTTGGTCAACCCGTTAGACCCGTTAACACATGTTAGTTGATGATGTTTTAGTAATTTTAGTACAGTCTTAACAACAAAATATAAACTCTATGCAAAAAAAAAAAAATTGTTAACGGATGAAACGGGTGACATGTTAGCTTAATGGGTCGGGTTCAATCCGACCCAAACTCAATAAACTTGACCCGTTTACAGGTCTAGTTGTACACATCACATGTTATGAACATGATGAGTTTATAAGACTCATATTGCCAATTAGTTTTAAGAGCAGATTATTCTACGTGTGAAGCCAAATGATCACACGTGCTCCACGTCCCTCCTTCTGTTGTCCAGGTGTTATATTTGAAAATTCACCACACGTGACTGGTGAGAAGCCTATTGTTAATTGGTTTTATGAGAACATCTGTATTAAAAAATTAATATTTGAATATAATGGAGGGGTTGGTTTGTTTGTTGTGCTGTTTATCAGTTCTCCAGTCTCCTGCTCCTCCCAAGGTAGGTTTCTGCCCTGCACTTCCTTTCTCCCCCAAACGAAAGCCTCTCCGCCAGTCGGCATCCGCCCCTTTCTCTTGGAGACTCTCAGTTGAGAGTTTGAGACTGCGACGTTGCGTAAGTCTCCGAAGAATCCTAAATTTTTGCTTTTGCTAACCATTCGGTCGGCGGCATTCGATTCTCATATTGTAACTTTGATTGCTATGATTAGATGATCATCATTCTTTCTGCTAATACTAATAAGAATTAGGTATAGGATAATCGGAGGAGGGACTGGTCACTGGGGGGCTTACAGGGCTCCTGCGACTCTTCCTCCCTCTTCCTCCCTCTTCCTCCCTCTCTCCCACCCAAGCTTCTTATTTTTGAGGAATTTCACTCTCCTCCTGAGAATCCTGAAAATCCTGACAATCATGTACGGTAGAGCGGGCCTTGATCGATTTAAGAAAGCTCAGTCCTTGGAACCCTTCTCTGTCAATTCCAATCCCAATCCCAATTCCCCTTCCAAATCCACTCCCAAGCCCTTTCCTTCACACTCCCATCAACCCCCCCTCCCTCCCCATTTCCCTCTTCCTCTTGCACCGCCCGATACCGCCCCTCTTGTTGAGTTGGGTCAGACCCACCAGAACCATCTCACTCAGCTTGGTTCGGGTCAGTCCACGTGGAGGCCCCCTGACTGGGCAATCGACCCTCGTCCCGGTGTCTATTCTCTCGAGGTTCTCAAGGATAGTCAGGTTCTTGATCGCATTGCCCTTGATAGGCGTCGCAACATCTTTGGCCGCCAATCTCAAACTTGTGACTTTGTGCTTGATCATCAGTCCGTTTCCCGCCAGCATGCTGTGGTTGTTCCTCACAAGAATGGAAGGTTGGCCGCACTTTCTCTCACTTTTCCTTTCTTTCTATTTACTTAAAGTGCATGCCATATATCATTATTCTAACTGGATTTTTAGTGTAATTGGTTTGTACTTCAAGTCCATCTCGATTGTTCATATCTGTATCCTGTCCTGTGCTTGCTGTTGGTTTTGTTGACCAAGTAAAGGTTTGTTCTCGTTTGGGTTTGCCACTCTTCAAAACTTGTAAAGAAAGGGGTAACAGAACAAATATTCTACTAACTTTATCGTCCCATTCAGATTAGAGAGCTGGATTGTTTACTTTTTCTATGCTTTTAGATTTAAATAAGAGGGTGGTATCTTTGGACAATGCCTGAGTAGCCCTACAACCTGATCCATCAATCACATGATTCAATTGATCATTCGGAGCTTCATGGATTCACCTATTTCACCGTACTTCATGGCCGTGGCCGTGTTCTTTCATCCTCATGACATTGTGGGGGTGATTGCTTTTTATTTCCCATGCGTTAAGTAGTTGTATGATGTTGGTTTCTTTGTTTACTTTGGTGATCCGAAACCATTTAAAAGCTTTATCCCTTCTGCAGCATATATGTAATTGATTTGGGATCTGCACATGGTACTTTTGTTGCAAATGAAAGAGTGACTAAAGATACCCCTGTTGAGCTTGAAGTGGGCCAGTCTTTGAGATTTGCTGCATCAACTAGAACTTATGTCTTGAGAAAGAATGACGCAGCTCTTTTTCCTCGTCCTCCACCACCTGAAGAGGTTAATCTGCCACCACCTCCTGATCCGTCTGATGAAGACGCTGTTGTGGCTTATAATACGCTTCTAAATCGTAATGGTCTGACCAGGCCTGACGTAGTCCCTAAGTCCCGCAAGTCTAGTGACTCAGCAGGCGCAAAAGGAGACAACCAGCAGCCAGAGAGGCCCTCTAAGAGAATTAGGAAGGCAAGAGTATCATTCAGGGATCAAGTTGGAGGAGAGCTGGTTGAAGTAGTTGGGATTTCAGATGGTGTGGACGTAGAAACTGAACCTGGTCCAGTAGGTGTAAAAGAAGGAAGTCTTGTCGGGAAATATGAATCCCTTGTGCAGATTACAGTAATCCCCAAAGGGAAGGAACAATTATATGTCAAGGAAGGCAATTCTTCCCAGAAAGGCATGACTGAAAAATTACAGGAGGTCTTAAATAGAGTCAAAACTGCTCCAAAGGGTGGGATTTATGATGACCTTTATGGAGAATCTTTTTCTGGCAAAGTGGGTTCGCCATGGGCATATCCTTCTTCTGTGGACTCAAGCAGTGGACGAGGCTCTCCAAGTAGAGATACTGATGGGAAGGCATTAAGTGTAAACCATGGAACTAACTCAAGTCACGTTGATGATGACGAAGATGATTTGTTTGGTGATTGATTTAAGCAAGCACTCAGTGGATGGATTTTTTGTTCTCTTTTGGGGTTTGAAAATGTTTTGAAGATGGAAAAGCTTTGGTGAAAATTATATGGTCTTGCTTCCTTGTGAATGGGAGTATAGTTTTAGTTAAACAACAAATTCTTAGCATTGGCATGGCCTGACTCATAATCTCCGAGTCAGTTAATGTTAGTGGGGGAATGGTTGAGAATATGTTTGTTGATGCTAGGTAGGTCATTTATCCAATCCCTGCTCTATCTGACGTGAAGTGGTTTATGCTTTTATATTATTATTAACCTGACAGGAAGTCTTTTGTGAGATGCTGATGTGGGTTGGCTGGTGGGGACGGGGGGGAGTCACGTATTTTTGTAGTAAGATGACTGTTGATATCTCCTCGCAATGTAGCCCTGCTAACTCGGAAACTGGTTGAGGATTGCTGCACATTTTAATGCATTAGGCTGTAACACAGGAGGTGGAGTCGGCTTATAATTTGCATGTAAACTCTGTTTTTTAATTCACGAATTGTGTATTCTTATAACTGAACTACCAAAGAATCATTTGCAATATGATTAATAGACCCGAATTCATTTTAGCTTTTCGCACACCTCTCTTTATTTCTGGTTATGAAATTGAATAAATCAAATGGAAATATTGGAAAAAGATCAAACAGGGGTGTGGGAGGAGAAAAAAAGTGTTTATTGTTTCCCTTAATAGTAGCAATGTTCAACGTGTGTAGAGCTTAGCTTCATGGAATACAATGATTGGGTCACTTGCGCAAATGCAAAGACTATGAAACCCTTTCAGTGAATTCACTGTTTCGAGTGTTCTTTGTGCTTGTGCTGCCAAATGTGCTGTGTTTGAGTGTAAACAACTGCATGCTTTTGCTGTTAAGTTAGCAATGAATTTAAATGTCTATGTGGGAACCGCGTTGCTTGACGTTTATGCAAAGTCTGGTTTGATAAAGGATGCAAGCTCTGTTTTTGAGTCTTTGCCAGAGAGGAGTGATGTTACGTGGAGTTCGATGGTTGCCGGGTATGTGCAAAAAGAGCTTTATGAAGCGGCTTTGGTGTTGTTCCATAGAGCTAAAAGCATAGGGTTAGAACAGAACCAGTTTACAGTTTCTTTTGCTATTTGTGCTTGTGCAGGTCTGGCAGCTCTCATTGAAGGAAAGCAGTTGCATGCTCTGTTATCTAAAACTGGCTTTGGTTTGAACGTATTTGTTGTTTCCTCTCTTGTAGACATGTATGCAAAATGTGGTAGCATTAGAGAAGCGTACAGTGTTTTTCAAGGTATGAACGAGAGGAACATTGTTTTATGGAATGCCATGATTTCAGGGTTCGCTAGACATGCTTGCTCACTAGAGGTGATGGTCTTATTTGAGAAAATGCAGCAGATAGGTATGTTCCCGGGCGAAGTAACCTATGCCTGTAGCCACATGTGACTAGTTGAAAGTGGAAAGAAATATGTCAACCTCATGATAACAGAGCAAAATGTGTCACCAAATGCTGTTCACTATTTATGCATGGTTGGTATTTTAGGTCGCTCAGGGTTGATTCTTGAAGCCTATGACTTGATACAGAAAATTCCGTTTGGTGCTACTGTTTCTATGTGGGGTTCTCTGTTGGCTTCTTGTAGGATCCATGGAAATATTGACTTGGCCGAGGTCGCAACAAAGCATTTGTCTGAGATAGAACCTAATAATGCAGGAAACCATATATTGCTGTCAAATGTTTATGCAGCAAATAACAAGTGGGGGGAAGTTGCGAGGAGGAGGGAGATTCTTAAAGAAAGCGAGTTGAAGAAAGACATAGGGAAGAGTTGGATTGAAATAAAGGACAAAGTTCACTCATTTATGGTCGGATAGAGGAAACATACTAGAATTGATGAGATTTATTTAAAGTTGGACGGTTTGGTCACAGAATTGAAGACAATGGGCTACAAGGCTGAGACTGAACACGACCTTCATTGCGTGGGTGAGAGCAGAAAGCATGAACTTTTGAGGCACCACTGTGAGAAAGTTGCTCTTACTTTTGGGTTGATGTGCTTACCTTCCAATGCTCCTATCAGGATCATGAAGAATCTTAGGATTTGTGGTGATTGCCATGCTTTTATGAAGGTCAGTTCAAGTTGTAGGGGAAGGGAAATCATCGTTAGGGATACAAACAGGTTTCACCATTTCAAGAATGGTTATTGTTCTTGTGGGGAATTTTGGTGACATACTTTTTTCGGATATTCTCCATTACGGTAATAAGTAATTGGTTGTGAACAATGTGAAGTGATTAAATATTAATTTATTAGGACTGAGGGGGCCATGTATTAACATGGTAATTAGATAATTAATTAAACAAGAAAAAGATTAGTTTCGGATAACTTGGGCAATTATAACAATATCTGATCAATCAAAAGCAGAGTGTGGAAGGTAATCTACGTGCCTTAATCTCCCTATCTTTAACTTTACTGATGATATCACATATCTACTAAGCTTAGCCTCCCTGTCGTAATATAATTGGTGGGTCTTTGACGAATAATTAGCAGTTAGCCCATCCATCTTCATTTCACATGAAGAGATTTTAGGGATATATGGTTGGGCCCTGCGCTGTCTAATCTGCTTACATGAGATTATGTAGGTACATTATATTTTGCACTTTTAAATTTGAGTGCAATTGTAACTTTACATTTATTTTTTAAAATGTTATAATATCATACACAAACTTATAGTTTGATTCTGTCATATATTCGTTAATTAATTCATCAATTTAACCGTTAAAAATACTGGTACGGCAACTACGAGTCTAATTATTTTATTTTTTTGATGTGGCTGTCAATAATCTACGGGCCCCACTTCCTACCACTATTCTCATCTTCAACTCCATTCTCCACCAACCCTTCCCTAACCCCAACCACCCCACCCCCCCCCCCCCCAGCCAGCTACAGCCATACCTTCTTCAGATCATTCTTGCTCCAAAGATATTACTCTCAACCCCGTCACTTTTCTCTATTTAGTCACGGTAGAGTCTTAGAGTGGCCAGGGATCTGTTGTCTCGAATTTGATGTCTCATTTGTTTTTCATTCTTAATTTTTTGACATTTGTCTGTTAATTTAACACCAATGTTAACATTGTTAATTTTTTATAAACTAATTGAAGAATTAAAAATTAAAGAAAATAAAAACACATTCGATAACTATCCACTGCAACTACATAATCCCCTTGCCGATGACCACTGCAACCACACAACCTATCGTCGCCGACCACTGCAACCACACCAGTGACACCACCCCATCGCCGCTGATGCTGCTCCTCACAGCGGCAAACAATGTGTGAAGTTTGAAATTTGAGAACATCATATAGATCAATTGGGGGAGGATGTTAAAGGGTTGGGGTTGGTGGCTATGGTGATCGATAGAGAATATCTAATATAATCGATCCATCTCATGGCCGAAATGCATGGTGGAGAGGTCGTGGTTAGTGGCTGCGATGATAGATTGGGGGAGGATGTTGAAGGGTTTTTTAAGATGCTGAAAGGTTTCATCAGCTCTGGTGCCTTTAATTTTACAGTTTTGTAAAAGTTAACAGAGTTAGGTTAGAGTTAAGTGGTAGTACACGTGTCAAATAAATAAAGAAATAGACATGAAGGAGACACCATTTTCGGGACAGCATACCCAAAGCCTCTTAGAGTACGTTACATATTCCAACGACCACACTCCTTATCGCCGTTGGCAAGACCTTCACTTTTTTTTTTTAATTCTGCAACAAATCTAGTTAAAAAGAAACTCACTCCTGCTGATAATATAGATTTATCTTCATCCTTATAGTATAATTTGTTGGACGTTGGATCATAATCCAATGGTTAATAGGTCTACACAGTTAATTTAAAGATTACTTGGAATATAAATAAGATTAGGATTTAGTTAATAGTTATAGCTTGTACCCCAAGTAAAGTTAATATATTTCGGATTTCCTTGGGGAATAAGGACTCCTAATTCTATCCTATTTGGAATGAGATTTGGTGTATCAATTATCCTTAGACTGGAAGGATTCCTAATGACATTATCAGTGGAAGATTCATTAGGGTTAAGTCTATATAAATACAAGCCTAAGGTCCTTGCTCATATCACACAGAAACTCATATGAACACCTCATTAGTTCGAGTATAAATGAGTGTTGAGTGTGCAGAAGACTTTGGTTAACTAACATATTATTAAAAAAGATTCCAATATGATTTCCACTGAAGGAGAAGTCCATGGTTGAGTCTATTCCGCACGATTCTGTCAAAGATGGTTCATCTTTCCTACATGCCATGTTGACTTCGAGTACTTTATCAATTGAGCATAATTTATAGATTTTTTTAGGTTAGTGTGTTTAGTTGTTTATGAAATATATAAAGTCTAATATAATTGTGACAATCGATCAGATAGACTGCCTCTGTATAGAATTTGAGATCTGTAGGAGAAAACAAGAATAAAACTCAGAAGGGTTGAAGGTGATATGTCGGAGAAGAGAAGGCGGTGTTGGAGAAGAGAAAGAGGAGCCACTTTTTGTTATTGTATTTTTTTTAACAAACGATATTATATATCTTTTGGGGTTCGGGTAAGGAGGAAGCTGTGCCTCACAATGAGTTGGCAATAATGTGATTTAAATTTGTTTTTGGCAAAAAGCGAACATAAGATTTTTCACTCACAAATTAAAGGAAAGCCACTAAACTGTAGTGTGTCCCCTTTTTGTTATTGTAAAGTTTGTTTTAGATTAGTTTTAACTTCAATTTTTTTTTTCTTTCTAATAACTAAGCATTTTGTTTTATTCACATAATGCAAAGTTGGCATCTACGTCATTAAAAATGTGGGCCTCATATTTACCACCTCATCTTAGTTTAACAAATTATTTAACGGATGTAAGATCTTGTTTGTACCATACTTGACCAATCCTGAAACCACTGAGTACCGGTTAACGTTATACCGTCAAGGACCTAGAAGAGTTTCCCTCAAACCAGGAGGCCAATCACAGCGCGACATGTGTCGACATCAGAAGCCAATCATAGCGCGACACGTGTCAACATTAGAAGCCAATCACAACACAACACGTGTCAATGTCAAAATGAAACTAGAAACTCTCTTCTATAAATAGAGATCATTCTCTCACAATATTTCCTAATGTCATTTGTACTAAATCATTCACTAGTACTCACTAAAGGAGAGCTTGAACCTATGTACTTGTGTAAACCCTTCACAATTAATGAGAACTTCTCTACTCCGTGGACGTAGCCAATCTGGGTGAACCGCGTACATCTTGTGTTTGCTTCCCTGTCCCTATCAATTTACATACTTATCCACACTAGTGACCGGAGCAATCTAGCGAAGGTTACAAACTTAACACTTTCTGTTGTACCAATGTCCTCACTGATTTTGTGCATCAACATTTGGCGCCGTCTGTGGGAACGACACTTATTCCCATTCTCTTCAGCTTTATCAAGCTAGTTTCCACCATTCGTACACTCTCTTTTGACCATGCATCCCTCTCCAACATGGAGAGCGAAGGAAGCCACAGCACATAGAATGACACCCCCATCGCACCTGGTGCGAAGCAACGAAAAAAGGAAGGAAAAAG